GAAGAGGAAAATAGAGACAATGCAGATAGAAAAATTCTCAGTAGATCAAAATCTTTTAGTTAGAAGTATAAGGGGATCGTTCTGTCTTCATTTACTTTCCTTGGTAAAAATTATAAATTCTGAAAGGAATTTTAAATGAAATCCCGGAAAGTGAGAAGACAAGGTATAAGATTAAAAAAGTTTAATGTGTTCTATTGACTCACAAAATCATGATTTCTAACTTCTGTTCCTTTCTTTTTACCCCTTCCACATTCGGGAATTAATATTACTTTAAGGAAGGGATAGTTTTTCATCCATTTCATAGGTATACAAAGATGATTATGGGAACATCTATTCAGCAAAGATGTAGGGGCTGACATCTCTATCAGTTTAACCGAGTTAAAATCAGGTTATGCTGTGACCGAACCCTCACCCTTTTGATAAATGTTAGGAAATAAATGAAAACCAATGGAGGTCATCTTATCAGTGAAATGTTGAGAGTAATTTTCTTTTAAAGCTGCTTAACAATAATGAAAATGTATCCATAATAATTGGTTTGTACCAAGAGGATGGTGAAAAGAGCAGAGTATTAAGATGTGAAAGTCCTGTGTTTTAGTTATCAGCCTTCCACTTGCTATTTATTACCTCAGTAATCCCACTGGTACTAGAACTTCCTTGGAAGCCCAATCAATCATAGTCATGGCTGACTCCTTTAAGGCCTCAGTTCTGTGTGTCCATGAGGCATTGTGGGAATAATTGTTTTAGAAATTTTCAGCGAGCTCCATACAGTGAACTTCATGTCCCTATTATTTCAGGCCATCACCTGAAGCTTATAAGACCTTCCAGTCATCCATCATTTCTTGTACTCTGACCTTTGTACTACTTTTTTCTGTGCTCATTCCTTTATCAGTTTTCATTCCTTTATCAGTCAGGGTCCTTGTGAGGCAAAGAACAAAACCACATTCAAACTGGCTTAAACAATAGACTCACTAACTAAAAAGTCTAGCCTCCGGGTCAAGCTTTAGAATTAGTTGATCTGGGGGCTCAGTGATCTCAGTAAATATCTGGTTTCCTTCCTTTATTCTTTCACTCACAGCGTTTATTTCGTCATAAGACAGGTTCCACTCTTTTCCATAATATAGATGCCAGCTTCAGTCAAGGATACAAGCTTACTCAGTCATACTCAATAGGAATAAGACCCCTTTCTCTCACAAGAGTTCTGAGAGTGGGGACAGCCAGCTTTAAAGATCATGGACTATGTGGGGGATGTGTGGGTACTAGGAAGAAAATATGTATATAATTAGACAGGGGGCAGAGGTGAATGGTAGGACAAGCAACTCATATTTAGCTTCCTATTATACTCTTAGACTTTTCGCTTGTTATTTCTGGAACCCTCGTCCCATAGTAAACAAACTCCTCCACTTTTTCATACTCTCTGGATCATCTCTTCCCCTTTTAACCTTTACTGAAATCCACTCAGCCTGAGGAAAATGTTTCCCCTACATCCGTCTTCTTTCCACATCTCATACCACAAAGTAAGGAAGAAAGATACACATTTCTCTGTTTCCCAGCTCCTACCCCCCTTATTCTTGCAGACCAACACTGCTTCACCATGGTATAAAATCACCTGTGAGGCTCACAGCCTGCTCTTACCGTTCTATACCCTGCCCATGATGTCCTCTCCCAGCCACCTGGTTGGTCCTCACCGTATTTGGTAGACTTCAGTTCCTGGTTCAGTCTTCCTTTCTATTCCCAGGCCCAACCATCGAGCCACTGACTCCAGTGTTCCCATCGACGTTTTATCTGACACTAGGTTGTAGGCTCTTTGCGCTCTTCAGCTTGTTCATATCAACCATCCACTTCCAGGAAAACATCTTGGATCTTGTTAGACTGCGTCACCTTTGAATTCTTAAATTCAAACATTTCACTAACTACTCCCATTTTACCTGTTACATTGGTATTACCGAGCCTGTAGTCTCTCTTCCTATCTAAAACAAATTGCTCCACCCATGCCTTATAAGCCATTTGTTCCCACTTCCATTAAGACCTTGCTTTATGTGTCATTTAATAATTAATGGAAAAAATTGGTTTCAAGTAGAATCATAAATGATAAATTGCTTAATGTATTCAAACAAAACAATGTATGTTTATTTCCAAATATTTTGATATAAGAGAAGGCGTTTTTGTCAAGTATGAATCATTTGATAGGCATCCCTCACTGTCCTTGCATAAACTACATCTAAAATGCATCATTTTTTATTTCCAGTTTCAGTTTCTTTTAAGTGGAACAAGAACACACATAAAGACACACATAAGTAATCTGAATTCAAAAATCTTCTGAATCTTCACAGTTCTTTCCTCAGATTTCTATAATAGGAGTTTTTGTGTTGGCTTTTTAACAACCATCTTTTTCAAAGTAGTTACATAATAGTTTACCTAAATAAGAAATCATTCTTTTTTGCATGCATTTAATCAAATATTTAAATTACATGAAAACAAGTACAGTAGGCATAAACATATTTTGGAACACATGGACTTGACCGTTGGTGAATATGTAACTCAGCTGGTTGAAGGAGAAATGTGGAAATACAATAGAAAATAGTCTGCCAGCCTTGAGTGTCACCATCAACCAGTATGTTTCACGTAAGAGACATCAGTTAATTTGGAGAGACAGTTAAGGGCGTCAGTATTTAGGTCTCTCCCATCTTAGAAATGCATCCTTTCTGTGCCCCAGCCCCTTCCATCTGCACAGAGTTAGTTCTCCTTATTCTCACAGCTAACTCTACAGAGAATTGCTTGGGCGCACTCTTCCAGTTCTTTACCTTCTTAGTAGCCCTCCACCATAGTGATCTGACTTTCACCCCTACCACCCCCCTCCAACACTGCTCTTGCCAAAGTTATCAATGACATTCTTGTTGCTAAATAAAGATAGAAGAGATTCTTCTATCTTTCTTGAGATTTGTACAATAATTGGTACAGTTATTCACTCCCTCCCGTTTCCAGTGCTTACTTTTCACAACTTCTTAGACCCAGCCTGGCTTGGTTTTCTTTCTTCATCAGAGATTAGACTTCAGTTAGAACTCAGTTGTTCTTCTGTTTTCACTCTACAGATTCCCCTGGGCCGGTTCAACGACCCGTATAATTTCAATTACCATTTAATATAAATGGATTCCACTTACATGTGGCACAGCCACTTGGCATGTCCAAAGTTGAATTTCTCTTTTTTTTGTCCAAAGATCCTCCTCCTCCCCTTCTAAGTTCCCTGTTTTAGTGACAGCACCACCATCTATCCATCCAGTTCTAAGACAGAAACCTGGACATCTTCCTGACTCTCTCGCCTCTCCCACACATCCATTCAGTACCAACTAATATTGATTCTACTTCCTGAATGTCTTCCAAATCACTTCAATTCCCCATTTCCTAGTACAGTGTACCATAGTCTTATGCCTCAATTACAGTAATAGCTTCCCTCTAAAATGATCTCTCTTTTCCAAACCTTTCAACTCACTATAATTTGAACGATTTCTCTAAAATGCATATTTTATCTCGTTTCTCCCCTGATTAAAACCCTTTAATGGCTCTCTCATTGTCTTCAGAATAAGGTTGAACTCTTAACAATTCCCAAGGCTCTGCATTTAGTACTTCTTAGTTACCTTTTTCAGACTTCTCACTCCTTACAGCCTTTGGGCTTCAGATAGTTCCTGCACATTGTGCAGATATCGGCTTGCTCATTGTTCTTTCTGGAAAATTCCTAGAAACATTCTTTCTGTGGTCTTTCAGAGTCCCCTCTATTTACCCCTATCATAGCACTCATCTCAATATAATATAATCACCTGTTTATCAATTCATCTTCACTATATTATAATATCAGGATCTCAGTCAAAATGCTTTTTTATCCTCAGTGCCTATCACAGTGGCCAGACACAGTACACCCTCATAAATATTTGTCGAGTGAATGACCTTAAATGAGTCAGCCTCTATGAGCCTCAATTACACCATCTATTAAAAGGGAATAATGTCCTACCTACCTCATAGGGTGGTTTTGGGGCCTTGTAAGATAATAGGAGTGAAGTTTAGCATAGTGGTTAAGAGTGTGGAATCTAGATCTATACTACCTGGCTTTTAATAGTTACATGTAATATAATTTTTAATGGTTATACATAATACTATATAACTAGCTATGTGACCTTGGGCAAGTTACTTAACTTCTCTGTTTTAGTTTCCTCTTTTGCAATATAAGAATAATCACAGTATCTGCCTAGAGGATTGTTGTGAGAACTGCATTAATAAATGGAAAGCATTTAGTACAGTGCCTAAACACACAATAAATGTTATCTGTTATAACATTTTTATTTACTAGCTCTAAAATTATCAATACATACAAAATACATGTATATGTAAATAGATACACACATGTCACCAATTTTTAGTTTGAATGTTTAAGGGAGTGAAGGGTTGGTATCATTTTTCTTGATTTATTTTTTCTTTTTTCTTTTATGATGTCATAGCCATACCAGAGTTTGTTTTCCAAATCTTAAATTCAAATTCCCATTCTTGAATTACACAGTTTTGGTAGAAAAAAAAAAACAACAACAACTGTTTTAATTGGTGTTCAATGTTAAAAGAGAATTTTTGAAATGTTTCCTTGCTGAATTCCAAACATTTTTTGAGTCTACATACATAATAGGTGGACATTAGCTCAGGGAAAATATTTAAATAAGAAAGATTACTGGTTTAATTTATAAAGGACAATTATGTCTTTGACACCTACCTTTATTTTTCTAATGACTGAAGAATTTATTGTTTGGAAAGTACAAATTCTATTAATCCATAACTAGTCAAGAAAAAAAGAAAATACAAGAGCAGTTAATTTTGTGTATATGTGTTTACCTGAAAGAAATTTGTCCAATTTATTAAAAAGTTCTTTTTAATTTAAAATTTAATTAGATAATATACATTTGTGTATTGACTTTGGACCAGCAGAAATGCCTAACTTTTATTCTTTTTCTGATTCTTTTTAGAGTTGGTGGTTGTAGGATTTTATTCAAGATGACTTTAGGAAGAGAAGTAATGTCTCCTCTTCAGGCAATGTCTTCCTATTCTGCGGCTGGCAGAAATGTTTTACGATGGGATCTTTCACCAGAGCAAATTAAAACAAGAACTGAGGAACTCATTGTGCAGACCAAACAGGTGTACGATGCTATTGGAACGCTTGACCTTGAGGAAGTAACTTATGAGAACTGTTTACAGGCACTGGCAGATGTAGAAGTGAAGTATATAGGTGAGTAGGATGTAAAAGCACATCAATATTTCATTTTGTGGGCATCATAAACCATTTTACGCTTTCTGTCTTGGCAATCCATTTTCCAATTTTACAGGACATTGATTTTTACATAATGATTAATTAATTGCTTAGAATTAAATTACCTAAGATTAAATTTTTTATTACTTTGGCAAAGGTGCTATAAAATGTACACTCTCATTACAACTGCTTTCTGGAGAGCATTTTGACAATCTATATCAAAACTTTTAAGAAGTTTATACACTTCTTCAGTAATTCTACGTCTAGGCATTTAAGCTAAGGAAATAATCAGATACAGAAAAAAATCATGTATAAATTTATATATAAACAGGTACTCTATCATAGCAAAAGTTTAGGAACAATCCTTAAATGGAAACTCATAGAATGGCTAAGTAAATTATGATACATTCACCCTCTGTAACACTGTGTAGCCATTAAAATCATGTTTAGGAGTAGTATTTAATGACCTTTATGCTTTTCTGTACTTTCATATATTCTACACTTAAAATATATTATTTTTATAATATAAGTATAGATCCTTTGAGTTATAAGAAAAAGATTCACCCTGGTGACCTCTAAGGGCTGAATATATTTTGTAGGATAATTATGGCTAAAGAACCTTGACTGTGTGTCCAGCCTTCATAAGAATACAGTACTAAATCTGTAGAGCTAGATATCATAAACATTTGTATGACTACCACAATTTAAAGTTTGTCCGAGATCCTCTACAGCCCTAGCGACCTGGTCATCTCTTTACTCCCACCAACTCCTCAATACTAAGAATTCCCCACCCTGTGTCCCACCACAGAGGGAACTTGGCTGTTCTCTCTGACCTCTGCAGTCAGTTCTGTTTCAGTTTCTGCTTCTACTACCAACTGCTTCTCTCTCATTAGTGGCTACTGAATCTTGCTACTAGTCTTGAGTTTAAAATTTAATAAAAAGGATCCAATTGGTCTCATTAATCAAAATCAAAGGGATGAGGTTGGTGCCATTCAGCAGTTGTCCCAGCAGGGAATTTTATGTGCATCTCTCACCCTTTATGTGGTTTGTCCTTGGTTCACATACATCTTTAGTCATTTATGGCCAAGCTGGTGTGTTAGCCTGGTAACTTATGTGTTTAACAAATCTAAAATTATATCAGTGGGGGGAAAAAAAACAAAGTATATTTTTAAGGATTATCTTAAATTCTGTTTTTTTTTTCCAATAATACATATTTTAAATATACTTTTAGTTCTGTGGTATCTGTTCTTGCTCATCCATAAATTTATCTTTGTGGGTTAATCATACTAGGAATAAATTTTTAAAGACTAACTTTCTCTTATTTGTGTATGTCCTCAGACTTCATTCTGCCTCCAGCACTAGTTCTTAAAATCCCTTTCGTCTAGTGTCTAGTACTGGGCTTTAGCATTGTTATAGTTTGGCAGTGAGAGCACAAGTCTGGTTCCAGGTCTTTGTGGCAAAGGAGGGAAGGAAATGGTTTTCATTATTATTATTTAAGAAGATGATGCCAGTTTTAGGCTTCTATATTTTATTCTGCTCATTTAGTTCTTGAGCGATTTTGATTTCTTCTTAATAATCTTCTTGAGTTCATTTTAAAAAGCAAACAGAAATTGTAACTATATAATTATATCACTTAAACAAGTGCTGTACGTACTAAATTTTTAATCTGTTCCATTCTTTCTGTAATTTATGGACGTAAAATTAGATACTAAATCAAATCCTAAAAGAATACTAATCTAATTTGATTTTTTAAAACATACATTATGAATTTATTCAGATATTGTGGCAATTTTTTTATACCTTTATACCTCTTTATTTGTAACAATAAAGAGGACTAATATTCATGAGGTAGCTTGTTTAACTGTACAATTTCTTAGTATATAAAGGATAGCTCTACTTTCCATCATATATTACATGTGTAAATTTTACCTATGTATAATAACTTCAAAGTACTAAAGATAACAAAATAAAAATGTATTCAATACATTGCCACAGCATAAGCACAACCATCACTATAAATTATACTCGTGGGGTTTTTTTTTGTTTTTTTTTGGAGTGTGGGTTATTTCACTGACATCAGATTTTTACCTAATTAAAGTCAAAATACAAATATAGGAAAAATCCAAGAACCAACTTTAATATGTGAAAATTAGAGTAGACTATATTACCACAATCATTTGATAGGAATATCTCCAGTATTCAGATGCTTACTGGATGTGTCCACTGAGATTTCTGGAAATCTTCTGAAATTGTATAGAGCTTCTTATGTTTGTATAAATGTTTGCATTGTAGGGAGGTCTATAACTTCCATTAAATTCTATAGAAAGTCTGTAATAAATGTTAAGAACTTCTAAATAAACCTCATCCCACTAAATTGGGCTGCTTGTTTTTGAAACGTCCTCTGTCTCTGCCTGTCCTCAGGCTTGCAGTCTCTCCTCCAGTATCCTACGGAGCTCTTCCTTTCACTCCAGCATCTCTAAAGTCCAGCCTTCTCCATAAAACATTACACAGCGCTCCAGCCCTGTGTTGCTGCCTTTGGACTACTATCCCATTCATTTAACAACTAATCCATTCTGTCCTATATGGTTCTTTATCTTTTTATGTACTGTTTCCCACCCCCCACTCCCCTGATGATAAAATGCCTCAGTATAAAACTGTGTCTTTATCTTTCTACATTCCCAGTTAGTAAATGACACCCTAAGCATACTTTAATAGGTGCTCAGTGCACACTCTCATTGTTCCCAATAATGACCCAGGGACAGCCAAGTCCTTCATTAGATGCCGTTCTTTGATAGCCTTAGGAACCTTTAAAGAAAGTATTTGAAAAACTTTTATCAAGATACTTATTCATCTAGTTAGGAGGTATTGACCTTAATACTGATTCGATGAGTCCTTACAGTTTTTCTCTCTGTTAACAGTAGAACGAACCATGCTAGACTTTCCCCAGCATGTCTCCTCTGACAGAGAAGTACGGGCGGCAAGTACAGAAGCAGACAAAAGACTTTCTCGTTTTGATATCGAGATGAGCATGAGAGAAGATATATTTCTGAGAATTGTTCATTTACAGGTAAGTGGTGTTATAAATCCCTTTAAGGGAAAAAAAAGTCTATAGTAATAAAGAAGAAATCTGGACCAAGAATAAAAGGCATGTGAATGCTTCTAGATTTTGTTTTTAATTATTATAATAAGGGGCATAGCATAGTGTTATATAATGTTATACCACTTAAATTTGGTTGCTAATTACATTCACTTAAAATTAAAGACCAAGTATAATCTATAAATCTAAGGTTTGTTTTTTCTTTTATGGTGACATTGGTTAATGAAATCCAGTAAGTTTCAGGTGTACAATTCAACAGTAAGGCATATATATATGTATGTATATATATATATATATATATCGCTATTAAATCATAAAGTTATGAACTTGATGGTTCAATGTAAAAACCCCTTTGAATTTTTAAAATATTGCAAGGTTTATATTAGATCAGATCAACCAGAAGCAAATGGAATCAAGCTGATTATCTATAAATATCGTGTGGTTTTGGCTGTCATATTGATGACCTGCTGTTGATGGTACACGCCAAAATCATTCCTGTTTGTCATCCTTACATTTTCTAGGACTCATGGAATTTATGGATAATGAATGGTTTAGATGGGTCTACGTTGAGCGTTTTGATCTTTTTATCACCAATGTTGATATCATCATATCTTTGCTTTGAATTTTTATTTTCATACCTCAGCAACAATGCTTTATAAGCCTAGGCATTTTTTGTTTAATTTTGATGTGTCTTTATGCAAAAACTCAAAAATTTTGTTCCTTTTAGTAAATTTTGACAAAAGTCAAAATAAAAAGCTGTGTAATTTCAAATGTTTTATTTGTAGCTCACTATAGAATATGTAATCAAGAATTTATTTAGACATATAAGAGTATATGCTATCTATTGTCTTGTGTCAGACAAGCATTTTTCACTCTATAATTTATAATCATCTATGTGGTTCACAATTGTTCCTCTTTGGCACTATAAAAATAACAGATTAAAATAACTTTATGATTATTCTTTATTAGTTAAATTGTTCCCTTTTTTCTTTTTGACCCCAGTTATTCTATGTGATTCAAATCATGCCCTTTATAGTCTCCTATTGTTATTTCACCCCCAAATAATCTAATTTCCATTCTAGCTATGTATCATATTTGTATTTTAAAACTTTCCTCAGAATTTTAATTTTTTTCGACTAACTTTTTTTCTGTCCTGACTTCTAAGTTCTGGTTTGGGATATTCTAGCATCAAAAAGCTATTTCAATCTTTATGTTATTAATTGAGTCTAATGTTTTTGTTACTATTCTACCTTCTCTGATTCTTGTGACTGTCATCAAGATATGGGAAATTTGTTACTCTAAGTTTCTTTATTATACTTTTAAATTTTATATATATTGCAGACTGATCCCACTAACTTTGGGAATAAATTGCTTCCTGTGTAGTAGACTAGAAAGGAGACTAGCACAGCATGGCACAGCACCAATGATTTGTCAGATTTGTGTATTTGTTTGGGCTGGTTCACTTTAGGGTTTTATTGTAATAATTTATAGCAGTTTCAGGCTCCATAATTTTTCCTCTTTCCAGTGGAGTGATTACTCTTATCCATGTGGGTTATTGTGGGAACATTTTAAGGGCTTTTACAATGTCTGGTAAGGCTATATCACAATTATGAAAAATAACTGCTGTGTTTGTTTATATATTCAAGCTTACTTGGTGAATTTAGTTACCTTTAAATGCCTTCCTTTGACAGATAGTTATGTTTATTTAGGCAGTTTTTTTTTTAATTTTTCAATTATAATCGACATTCAATTTATATTAGTTTCAGGCATACAGCATAGCTGTTAGACATTTATTAAACATGAAGTGATCACCCCAATAAGTCTAGTACAGGCAGTATTTTTAAATCTAGAACTATCAGCATCAGTTTTCTTCTAGAGTTGGACACTTTAATAAAAGGCGAATCATCTCATTTCACAGCCCTGACAAAGGTTTCTTAATTATTGGCTAAAAATACAGCAAAGATCAAAAAAGGTTTTATAGACACTCTTCCTAGCCATGTTGGTGAGAAAATATACAATGTCTTCATGTTAAAACAACTCAAGGATACAGTATTTTATGGAATATTATAATATTCCTGTGGCCTGCTAAATAATAAGTACAGAAAAGGGATCCTTTAGTGAAATAGTCTGAATTATTCATGTAAGCTAAATTGAGAAATATAAGTTATCTGTTAGATTATTTATATTTTTTCAGAGCTGTGAGCTTTGGTCTTGCCACTTTATCTTAGCCAATTAGTGATTTATTTATTTATTTTTATTTTTAAATTTTTTTTACACCTACAGCACCCGGTATTCCTAGGTGGTTTCCTATCCAAGTACTAACCAGGCCCGACCCTGCTTAGCTTCCGAGATCAGACAGGATTGGGCTTGTTCAGGGTAGCATGGCCATAGACTTCCAATTAGTGATTTAAACAGAAAAGTTTTAATGTTACTATGTAAATGTATTGGTCATAAGATTAAGTGTTGTGATGTATTCTACCAGCCATGGAGACCCGGTGCCAAAATAAAATACAAGAACCAGTGCTTTAAAACCATGGCAGGAAAAAAGGGGTTAGGGGAAAGAAGGGAAGAAGAGGGGAGGGAAAGAAGGAGGGAAGGAAAAGAAGGAAGGGAACGAGGGAAAGAAGGAAAGAAGGGAGGGAAAGAAGGGAAGGGAAGGGGAAGAGGAAAGGAAGGGAAGGAAACTATGTCCAAAATTCAACATGGTAATGATCATTCTTTTTACTTACCAAGATTTTTGATTTTAAAATGTATTGAGTCTAGTCATTGGTCATAATCGATACTACTGAAACTTGCACTTTTGTCAGGCTCTTAAAAGCCTAGAGATCCCATATAAAGTATCAACTACCTTGCCTTAATTTTCCCATTAGACAGGCACTCCTCTTTTGTGCTTCCCAAGTACTTACCTCTGGTTCTACTCACTACATGGTATTGACATCTGCTAATGTATCTTTTTCGCCTTCATATGACTTAAAGCGCCTCAAAGATATTCATCTTTGTTTCCCTGGTGCCTGGCACAAATAGCAGCTCAGTAAATGTGTGTTGAATGAAACTGAACTCATCCCAGTTAAAATGTGTCTTCATGAAGTGTGATTCCCCACTCCCAGAGTCCTCAGTCTGCCTGTAGCCCACACAAAAGCAGCAAATCTTATGGCATATTGAGTTAGTAGTCAACAAGCAGACCTTTAGCAGCCCTTCTGCCCTAGCTGCCTAAGAGTGTCCTCTTCATGATAGTAGGATTAAAAACTAAATATAACTGTTGATAAAAACAAACAATGGCAAAAAACAAAACAGGAAAAAACTGCAAATATAACACATTTAATTAAACAAGTTATACTTCTATTTTAGTTTTTGCAATAAGATCTGTCATCTTATATTTCTTTAGCATATTTGAAGTTTACGAATCAGTTTTTCTAAATGATATTCAGAGTAATGTACTGGCTTAATCGTCAGAGTTCTTTTAACAACATTGCAATTTCTACTTTGTATACACAATACAGAAAATCTCACTGAAATAATTTAATATTTTAGAAGCTGGAAATATGAAGGTCTTGTGAAGAAGAAAAGGACAAAGTCAAGAGACAGAAGCTGGGGAGGATTTGGGGGAAATTAAGACAACTTTTCACTTTTTTATTATGAAATTATAAAGAATGATCATGAATTAAGGATGGTAATGCAGTAGCATGGCATTTTGGGCAACGTACTAAACTAAGAATTTGAAGAACTTATTTCTATCCTTTTGAAGAACTAAGAATTTGAAGGGGCATGTATTCATATAAAACTAAGAATTTGAAGAACTTATTTCTACACTTTTACCACTAAATAGCTTTGTGATCATAGGAAAATCATTTACCCTCAGTTTTCTTGTCTGTAAAGTTAGTATACAAAATACAAGCATGTGTATAAGGGTGTGTGTGTGTGTGCGCGTGCACGCGTGTACGTTCACACACTTACATAAAAGCTCTTTGTTACAGAAGAAGTTAGAGAGGAGACTAAATATTGTCACCACAGAGTTAAAAAAGAGCCCTGCTGTCAGATTATATAAATTTGCAAAGTACTTCAGAGAACTCTATCCCCCAGCCCCTACTCCTAAAAAGGAGAAACCACACCCAAAAAGGCCTGAGACCTGATTCAGATTCAAGGGGATTAAATTCTTGTTCAGGAAGGAAGGTGCAAGTATAGCAGAGCAGTCTAGAAGTGTTGGCCGAATCTCTCTTAGAAAATCCTTGGGCAGTAATTCTGACCTTGCCTGGCCAGTATAAGGTAGAATATTATGATCAGCTCTGGGACAGGAATGTGCATGAGAAGCACATTTTAGAAGTACCTTACTCCTAACAGAGCCCTCCGGAGTTTTCCTGAGACCTCAGAGTCTAACCAGCAAGGGGTGTCTGATTATAATTGAGTCAGATTTTTGTGGTAAATCATGTATTTCGGTACAGATAATTAGTCAGGGATGATTTTTCTCAGAACTTCCTTCTACCTGTTTACACCTGTATTAACTATTTGGGGAATAAGTAGTTTTACCTAATCCAGACCATAAATTTGGAGTTTACTGGGCTGAGTATACTTCTAGGCTTTCTGAGGTAGCAGCCCTGCTACTCGCAGATGTGGCAAGTCCAGGCCAACCTAGTATGAGGTCCAATCCCGATCAAGCAGAGTGTAGAGTAAGAATTCTGCTAAGACTTATGATGAGTTTCTGTCCTAAACTTAGAGCTAAATGTGCCCAGGTGAACCCTGGGAACCCAAGTCCCCACACTGCTGTCCCACTGTGTGCCTGGCTTCTACCTTGGTCACTGCCCTGCTGGGACGGCCCTGTGCTCTGTATCTCAGCCTGCTCAGCTGGGTCCTTCACAACTTACTCAGCTCTCGCCAGGCCCTCTTCACCTGGGATTTTTTTTTCCCTCTCCCCCAGCTGCACAGAGCTACTGCTTACGTTCTCCCTAACCTTAAAACTTCCAGTTTTGAACTGTCTAGAGACTCCTGTTGCCATGCCCCACACTTCAGGACAGACTTTCTGGCGCTATTAAGGCCAGCCCTGATCAACCCAGGTTAATCACATCTGAATGAACACTGTGATTTGAACTGCTGGCCATCCCTTAGGGAACCAGCCCACAGCCCAGTTACCTCCCTAGCCTCTTCCCATTGCAGACACCTGCTTCTGAGATCCCAGTGTGTGCCCATACCAGCTAGGAAGGATTCCAACTCCTACCATGCCAGCATGCTCAGATATTCTCCAAGGACATAAGAGGAGGTTATTATGGAAAAAAGAGTCTAACTGTTCTCTGCCTCCACTGAGAATAAACTCAGGGGAAACTGTGAGTAATGTATGTACAACAAGTGTTTTACTACTATGACAAAATTTTTTGTTGGTAGATGAAGTGAGATACAGATTGTTGTATTAAGGAGTACTCTCAGAATATAACTCAAGATACCTGCTGCAACAAAATGTGCCAACAATCTAAAATGCAAGCTTTAAAGGTAATCCCAGTTCTATAAAGATCTAGTTAGTTGGGAAAACATAAAGCTCAGGGATGGACAGCCCAGGTCTTTCATGGAAAGAAAGTACAACCAATGGTGGGACTCTTAAGTTGGAGAGGTCTCTAAGGCTCTAGAGACAGAAATCCCCCATTGGCTCTCAACCAAACTGAATCTGTTACACCTACCAAATCTGTCTGGAGTCCATTTCCTCCCAGAGACCACAGACTGACCACCCATCCAGATGTACCATGTGTACTCTGCCACCTGTTTTGAAGAAACATCTGGTGTTTTCATACATTGCCATGGCCAAGGGAATTGTTCATTTGCCTCCAGGGCCCTTCGTTCTTTTGAGTGAGTGCTGTTTGTGTTGCTTGAATGCAGGTTCAAATGTAGTGTCCAGCTTTCCTCCTCTGTGCGTAGTGCTGACTCATTTTCCCTAGATACTCATTCATACGCAGCTTGCTCTCTCTTGCCAAATGATAATAAGGCATTTTTAAAGTTTTGGAATCCTTTTGCTGGGGTTTTATCTGGCTGTCCTTTTTTAGTATGTTGGCAAAAGAGCCCCACTCTCCATTTGTAGAATTTGCCCTTTCTTTTTTTCCTGCCTTTTAAGTAGAAGCAGGTTAGCAAATGATAGAAAATTAAATCCAGATGATTTGTGATAAGGAATATTTTTTGTGAGAAAGACCACTTGGTCATAGAGAATGCTCAGAATAAGATTATGTAAATGTTTCTATTATCACACTTTCAAATGGTACAGTCACTCTTGATTCTGATACAAGGCAAGGCCATTCTGGTTAGCTTTTTGTTTATTTAATTTTTCTGTTTTAAATGAGCAGAAGTTCACTAAAGTATAGGAGAAGTTAGGTCTTCAAAAGGGCCTGTTTCATAATCATCTATGTGCTTCATAGCCCCATAGAGATGATGGATAAATTTGCTTTGGCCTCATAGTTTATAATTTACCCAGGCACTGAGGTAACAGAAATGGGTGTCACACTCTTTAATTTCAGGAAACCTGCGATCTGGGGAAGATGAAGCCTGAAGCCAGAAGATACTTGGAAAAGTCGGTTAAAATGGGAAAAAGGAATGGGCTCCATCTTCCAGAACAAGTACAAAATGTGAGTTTACGTTTCCTTTTCTAATTGGAAAGGAAAAAGAATAAATAAAAATACAACAAAAAAAAAATAGAAAATAGGAAAACATGTTTGTAGTATGAGAAATAATGTATAATACAAATCCATTTACAATGTATTTGGTAGTCGATGGTTTTAAATTCTGCAACTCTTATTCACCTCATGGTGACTGACAGACAACTGATAATTGATTTTTTTCTTTAATCCTTTAAAAGTTTTATTTGTTTCATATGTTCCGGGCTTATTTTCTCCGCTCTGTCTTATATTCTCTAACAGCTAGTTCCAGGTCTTAACAGTTGATTTGTATTCTCATTCCCTTGGTCTTACAGAGACAGGGCACTGGAAATAAAATCCTTATGATGGAATGTTCTAAAACCAGTACTTTGGAATGGAGCATGCTATGATTAATACATGCCCCTTAAGGGCAGAGAGATTAGCTGCTCAAAAGTGCTTCTCAAACTTTTTCTTTTGTGTAATGCCAGTCAGATCTTCCAATTTCATAAATAAACTAGGCTGCAGAATTAATTCATTCTTTTGGAAGAGGTAAAAAAATAAGACATGATTTATTTCCAGGTAGTTCTTCTAGGCAGTAGAACTGAAAATAAGTTTGAAAGTAATACAAACCAAGTGATGTCAGAGTGGTAGATATACCTAAAGGCGCTACTGAGATATGGCATCTTTCTCCCATCTAAATGCTCTTCGAACAACTTGTATCCTCTCCATCCTAGTTACAGGAGAAATTTAACTGATCCCTCTTACCTGACTTGCCTTCCTGGTCAATCATCAGTTCTTTTGGGCGCATGAACACTTTATTAGTTAAAATGTGTTTGCTTGCAGCAACAAAACCCTGTTGAAACAATTTAAACAATAAATTGATTTGCTCGTGTAACTGGGAAGGTAGTTGGGCTTCATGGATTATTTGATACAGATGCTCAGTGGTGACATCAGCCACCTACTCTACCTTCTATTTCCCTACTCTGCCTTCTTCAGTGTTAGTGCTATCCAAAGGTGTCTTCTTTTTATTTCTAAAATATCTAGAGGTCTAAAAACCCAACCATCCAGAAAGACATAGAGAAGCCCCCATCAAACCTCCCCTCATGTCTTAATGACCCAGATTGTATCATATGCCTAATTCTGAATCCCCGTTTAGTCAGGGGAATGCCAGGCCTGGGTTACCTGAACCAGTTACTACTGCAGTGAGGATGGGATCCTAACTGGTGCAGAGGTCATACCCCTGGAACTTCAGATAGGATCAGGTTCCACTCAAACCACATGACTGCTGTAGAGTGTGGAGGAAGTGGAAGAGAACTCGGGGAGACAACCAGAATATTCAAAATGACACTGTATGTGTTAAGTCAGCAGTCTCAAATTTAGTGTTCTTCAGAATTACCTGGAAGGCTTGTTAAAACTCTGAATACGGGGACCCACCTCTGAGAGTTTGTGTTTCACTTTGTTTGGTGTATATCTCAAGAATTTGTATTTCTAACAAATTTCCAGGTGATGTTGATGTTTCTACTCAGGGCCACATTTTGAGAACCAGTGTGGTTTATATAAATTTCATTATCTTGAAGTTTTACAAGAGTGGGACAGATTCATAAAATTATTTCATGTTTTTTTCTTGTGATTTTCTTCTTACTGCTTCCTTTGATGTCCCACCTAAAACTTTTTATATAAAATTCGTCTTTGTTTGTAAACGTTCTATAAAACTAAGACGTAACCTTTTTTCCAAAGCAACCATAGAATTAATTATTCAGTTTTTATCTCTTGGCTTACTTCACCAAGTACTGATTTACTAAATTAAAATTTTGAATTGGAAAAGATTAAAACTGTGCCAATTATTAATGGGCTACTAGATTCATTCATTCATTCAGCAACTATTTATTGTGTGTGTACTCTGTGCCAGATTCTGCTTTGACTATACTTGGTAAATTCATTTCTTGAAAATTTACGACGGTTTTTAACACATCATTAGGATTGCTGTTTTATACATGTTACATATGGATACTCGAGGACACAACATAGAAGACTGCAGAAAGCTGTTTTATCAAGCACATCTCTAAGAAAGTACTTCCTAAGGGTTGGATACAGAAATCAATCTTCATATAAACGTGAAACTTACTTGACTGATGGTTAGAAAAGTGAAAGTTTTCTTGTTAATATCCCATATTTGTGTCTTTGTTTCAGGAAATCAAAACAATGAAGAAAAGAATGAGTGAGCTATGTATTGACTTTAACAAAAACCTCAATGAGGATGATACCTTCCTTGTATTTTCCAAGGCTGAACTTGGTAATTTTTTCTTATTTTTCTAGATTAAATTATATAGTTTAGGCAATAATGTCACCTCACGATTTGCCAAATCGAAGTTAAAAGAATTCTTTTAAAAAATGATCCAGTGCCTTCTACAGAACCCACTATCCCTTGTATAGAAAAGACAACCAAGCAATGCCTAGATTTTTTTTATGAATATATTCTTATTTTATTTTATTTTTAAAATTAATTATTTTTTTTTATTATGGTGACATTGGTTAACAAAAGCCAGTAAGTTTCAGGTGTGCAATTCAACAGTAAGGCATATATATATTGCATTGTGTGTTCACCACTCATAGTTAGATTTCTTTCTGTTACCACGTATTTGACACCTTTCACCCCATCTACCTCCCCCCTCTCCCTTGCCCTCCATTCTCTGGTAACCGCTAATCTATTGTCCATGTCCATGAGTCTCTGTTAACAATGCCTAGATTTTAGACTAATAAGAGTGCATACTAATTCTAGAGACAGTTCTGAGGAGATTTCATAATCTTTCTTGGTAACTTATGTTGTTTAACAGCCATTGGTGCATTGAAAATTTTTTGGCCTTACAATGCCCCCTATATCATAAGTTAAACAAGTATCTTCTTGTTCTGTTCTGGATCTTGCTTGGCTTAATTTTGCCTCGTCTCTATCAACACACCATTAACACAAGTACACTGAAGCCTACTCATATTTCAAATTACCATCTCCTAAGCCACCAGTTCTGTAACCACCACCACCACCATTCCAATAACATCAAAATAATATTATAAGAATTGTCATTTTACTTGAATTTTAATTACTCCACAAAATTCCTAGAGTTCTTAAAGGCACCATGCCAATACTAAATTAACCAATAATGGTGGAAAAATTAATGTATGAAAAAATAATTTTTTGCAGGTGGTCTTCCTGATGATTTCATTGACAGTCTAGAAAAGACAGGTGATGACAAGTATAAAATTACCTTAAAATATCCACACTATTTTCCTGTCATGAAGAAATGTTGTATCCCTAAAACCAGAAGGAAGATGGAAATGGCTTTTAATACAAGGTGTAAAGAGGTACTTTAGATGTTTGTCTTTTTTGTTTGTTTTTGTGGAAGATTTTAAGAAAAGGGTTTTCTTTGTTTACCAATGTTGAAGTCAGCTCAGAGACTATATCCCCATTTGTGTGAGCATTATGCTTTCTAATTCCTCAGACCTACAAGATTTATCTTTTTCCTTGCTCATTGGCATCCTGCTTGGTATGGCCACAGGCTGTTACTCTAATAAAAATAGAATGGATTAAATAAACTAAAAGTTGTATTCTACTCTTAAGTGAACAGTCCAGGGCTGATGGGGCATCGCTCTTTCCTCCCCAAGTGACTTCCAAGGGCATTTCGGTTGTCACCATTTCCCAGCCCGTTGGGAAGAGAGAAAATAAAGTACAGAACCAGTATTTTAAGAAGACCTAGAAATGACATATATCAACTCTATTCACATCCTGTTGACCCAAATTCCATCATATAGCCAAATATAACTACAGAGGAGGCTGGGAAAGATAGTCTTTAATTGACAGCCATTTGCTCAGCTGAGTGCATTCTCTTACTAAAAGGAAAAAAAGAAAAATGAGAAATTCTTCTAGTTGATTCTAAAAGACAACCAGCCACCTGCACCACAGTCTGTCTCTCTGGCTAAGTAACCACGAGCATCTTTTTTTCCACATGTCACGCCCATTCATGGTGTGTCAGGTCCCAACCAGTTACTGCTTTGCGCTTTCAAAGACTAGGCTCTCTGGGTGATACACATCCTCCCCAGTTGTAGCGTCTCATGATCTAGCAACCTGTGAAAACAAGTTGTTTGGCCCGTTCACCTCCAGAACAAACACCCAGTGGTAGAATAGGAACAGAATAACCACACTAAAAACTCCCATTTGAAAAAGGAAAGAATAGGAAACAGCAGGCGCATACCAATTTTCAGAAACAGTTTGGCGGGAGTCGTGAGGATTCCATGCTGTGGTGAAGTTCCTTGGATGGCCCATTGTGCCTCAGGTCTCCTTTCTGGCAGGATTTCCTTTAATCATTGTTTTCCATAGCCCCTGGTTTTGCCTGCAGGGAATTCTTTCTTGTCCTTAACCTTCCTTGACCGAATCCTGGGTGGTTATTAGTATAGTATAG